TGTACTTGTGGATATATTAGAATATTGGGTTATTAAGGCATTATCTCACCATCATGATTATATTTTATAGGTGAATGCTTCGATAGGACATGCATTATTTTTAGGTCTCTTGCATGAGATTGGTGTTTTAATATATTTCAACCTAAGATATTGTATTTGTGTTGGAAATTGTTGTAAGAGGTTGAAATACTAGTGCAAGTGTCATTATTTTGGTAATTATATATGTATAGATTGCCATTGAATTGTAATTTTAATTTATGCCTATGCTCGTTGATTATTGTGGAATTAAGGTTGGATGTCTAAATCATGTTTGGAATGTGTGCAGTTTTATGTGATTGTTTTACTAGGTGCTTTATGGTTTGTATGAGTCGATTCAAGTAGTTTTAGGGTTATTAACACGTAGTTTGTAATTTTAGACTTGGGTATATTTTGAAGTGAAAAAAGTTTTTTTTGTATGCCTTAGTCTCCAACTTTTAAATGCTAAAGTATTTTGATGTGAAACCAATGCAAATAGTTAGGTGGCTCAGTTAGCGACATGTGAACATTTGAATCACTCAAATCAAATGTCAGATGGTGAAACAGTGCACTCTAAAATTTGGTCTCAGAATGCTATCATGATAGTAGATATACAACGTGATGCAAGGTAGGTGCGTCATAGCACAATACACAGCAAGGGGATTCTCCCCTTTTGTGAGCCACCGCAGCAGGTAGAGTAAATTAAGCCTTGTTCAATTTTTCACTTTTTGACCTTGAGTTGTTTTGATTCCTTTTTCCATGCTTCCTTATGTTATTTATTCACATTTTAAATTATTATTTGAGCTCAAACATTTTCTAAAAGGATTTTCTTGGGATCCTAACTTTTAAACTTGACTTTTAAATCCCTTATCTATTATAGTAATCTAATATAAGGATTTGTATAATCTTAGTTATTATGGTAATGTTATGTGCTGTGTTCTGATAATGTCAAGATGGACATTATGTTATACAAGGAAGAGGCTTGATTACTTGATTATCACGGGTAAAACTTGGTAAAAAAGCAAGGGTTGATCAATGCTTGCTGATATCTTTATGAGATCTGCAAAATTGTGACAAGCATGTTTATATGAAAATAATACCTTCTGATTTATAAAATAAAGTAAAGTGGGTATGAAAATGTTGTATGATGATATTAAGTTGTTTATTTAATGTTAATCTTGAATCTCAAGCATGTGTGATGAACACTGAATTGTTGTAAATTTGAGCATAAAAAATATTATTTAGCATGATCATGTATGTATAGATAGGAGTTCACCCCATGAAAGTTAATGAAATCCCCAAGGTAACACCAAAACTGTAAATAGCCTTGGTGATTGGTCTATTGCCTTGTATTGTCATTATCATTTAGGAAATGGCATAAGTTGGGCATTGTCCTGTACCATCAACTTCCTATAGGGAATCAGAGTGGGTTGGGCATATAATACCCTTTTAGATTTGGTAAAGGGGGAATCCATGGTTTGATAATGAGTGTGAGAGCCTTTTGCTAGGTTACACTTCACAATTAGAGAGTTTAGACTAGTATTGTCACATGGGATAGTCCTATTTGTATTACTAGCCAATGGAATCAATCAAAGGTAACAAGAAGTTATAAGGTAGTGCAATAATCATGCATTGTGAAATTGTTTTTATGACATGCTTGAGTGATTTGAAATTTTGTTTGTGAAGATGCCCACTTTGCATGCTCATAAATGTTTTCTCTCACATGTGAATGAATTTGTTTTCTGGTTATTAAGATTTCAATTTCAACATCGTGGATTAACATTTTATAAGAGATGATCCAAGTAGGAGCAAAAGGGAGGCCTTCGATGCTAGAGACCATTATTTTATTTGTAATGTCTTTAATTTACTTTGTGTAATAGAATGATATTGCCAACTAGAATTTATTCATGAGGCACTTGCATGTAGCCATAGATATTAGATTGGTATTTTTTGTTGCATCTTGGCCATTAAGAGAGTTTGTCCAAGTTCGAATTTTGATTGAGCCAAATGCATATGCAAATGTAATCTTATGTTTAAAACTTTTTGGACTGTTTGAATGATTTATGACTTTGATAGCTAAGAACTGTATTTCCACCCTTTTGATGATTTTGGTTGTTAGGTGGTTATTTGTGGAATTAAGATGATTTAACCAAGTATGAATGTTTTGCATGATACTTTTACATCCATTGAGTATGGTTCAAGGCACAGTTGGAGCTAATGGCTTGTGATTGGGATTTTGGACACTTGGTTGATTATTAGAAGTAGGAAATTTGGTGAAATCACCCCTAGTGTCCAAAATCTCCATATAACAAGGTGAGAAAGTGCCCTCTCTATGTAATCCATTATGGCATAGTATGCGCAGTTCGCAATGGATAATCTTTATGTCATATGTTAAGATAGATGTGCACTCTTCCATGATAGACATGCTTGATGGGCATTTTTGCCCTTTTGGTTTTCATTTTGATTTTTTGTTCAGTCTTATTTGATTCTTATGTTTGCAAAACGTCTTTTGCACTTATTTCAAAGTATTTAAACTATCTTTTATGTAATTTTGATTTTATTTAATTTTGGGATCCCATTTTTATATAGAATTTAGCAATGTTTTAAGAATCAGATAGGTCATTAAACTAAAAAAGTTAATGGTTTACGGTTTACATGGTCTAACTGATTAAATTGAATGGTTGAATCGATAACACAATAATTAAATAAAAAATATTATATTATAATATATGTGTATATATTTAATAGATACATGCATATATATTTAATATTTAATTAATAATAGAAAATTTGGTCGTTGGGGAATAGATTGGAGGTCTTTAACTTTCATCATTTTTCATGAATGTTAAGAGGAGACACGTGAGAATAAAAAAGGTGAGAAGGTCATGATTTTCAAAATTATTATAATATATTTTTAACTTCCCCTGATTCCTATAGAAAGAGTCCTTGTTTTAGGTTTTGACTCAATCCTTCTATGCAGCTTCTCATCGTTCAGTGAAGGATGTTTCTTCCTCTCCTGTGATGTCTAACTCTCGATTTCCTTTTCAGTGACAAGCTCCCATCATTTTTTCAATATTTATCAATAAGTTATTTCTCCTTTAAAACATAAAAAATCTTCCCCCTTTCCCTTCATATCTATGCCTTCACCTTTTCATTGAAGCTCCTTCTTCTCTTCTCTTTATCGAGAAAAAAAATCTTAAAAAATTCCAAAAAAACCGTTTGGTCTGGGTTCTGGTCCAATAGTGGTTTTCAGCCCATTCTTGATTCAATATGGTCCAATTCAATTTGATCATAGGAATTTTTTTTTTTTTAAGAGAATCATGTTGTTGCCATGGCCGGTCAATGGTTTGACTAGTTATGTAACATCCTAGATTTTAACTTTGAGAATTTTCAATGTTTATAAGGATATTTTAGTTAAATTAAGTGAATTTTTAATTAATAATTTTTTAGGAGACTAATAGAACTTATGAATCATTAGACAGCCGTAGAAGAGGGCCAAGTTGAAGTTCAAATGGGCCATAGCATTGAGGGAAATTTAAATTGTGAAGGAAACTCTCTGTGCCAAGCGCCATGACGCATGTACATAGATTTGAGTATATCAAATACGCGATCAAATGGGAAATTAAAGAAAGAAAGAAAGATATCGAGAGCATCAAAGGAGACTCTTGGGACTACTAGGGCTCAACCTTGGGCTCACTTTGGAAGTATTTGGAGCAAGATTTAGCTTGAGTAAACTTCCTCCACTTCTTCTCTCTATATTCAGACTTTTTTTATGATTAAGGTATTTTGAGGCTTTGATTTCGTGTTTCCTTGGATTATGATTGAACCCATTGCCTTAGTTAAGGTCTTGAGGAGTTAAAACAAGCTTGTAAACCTATTTTTGTGGATTATATAATGATTTGTAGTTGTAGGTTAGGATTTGGACGACCTCTAGGTAGAAATTTGAAGATAAAGGACAATGTGGGTAATGTAATAGTGTTATTTATGTATTAGGATGTTAAATAGGATTAATGAAATGTGTTGGAGCTAAATTGAGGTTTTAGGTAAAATGGGTAACCTAGTTGTGTTATAACAAGGGTAATTAATATGCGAATTGACAATTAAAGGTTTAATCTTGTAGATTAGTCTTTGATCCAGCATTTTGGTGCTAGTAGATATGTGTGGAGCCATTGGTTAACCACAATAACCCTTTTAGTGACAAAAAGGTTGAGGTAATCGGATTGTCTAATCTCTCTTTATGTGTTTGGATGATAGTGTGTAGATTTCAAAGTTAATGTTTTGATTTGGTATTAACATAGTAACAATATGAAATTATGATTTTAAAATTATGTGAAGTGGAATGAAAAGTTGCTTTAATGTTTTAGTGTTTGAAAAATAAATAATATTTTTGAAAAATAAATAATATTTTTATATATAACTACTTACGAAATTCTATGGTTTATGTGGAATGAGCAATTATGATCATTGATATATTATGAGTATGTATTGAATGCATTAAGCATGTTGGCATGATCATAATGAGGATGGGAGTTTACCCTAATTTATTGTCGGGACATTATTTGGAAATCCATATAGTGTTCAATATTATATTGTTTGAAAGTTTCAATATTACGTGAGATAGATTGAATATCAACACCCCTAGTATTTGGAGATAGGGGGAATCTGTGGTCCATAGTGGGCAAATGCGCTCTTGGCTGGAGCTGTCTCCTACTAGTGGTGAGCCTAGACCAGTCCAGTTATATAGATTTGGTCCTATAGAATTGTCAGCTCACAGATTTAGTCGAAAGACATAAGAAAGTTATAAGGTAATGTGATGATTATGCATATCATGCTATAACCATATGTGTGGATTTATGAGACATATTATATGTTTTATTATGCCACTTCACATACACACAAACTGTTTTCACACACGAGTAGTTGATTAGACTATTTGGTTATTAAGTCCTGGACTCACCTCGTGGCTACATTTTACAAGTGAAGACTCCGATAGGAGCAAGAGAAAGGAAGGTGTAACCGAGTATCGAGGGGATTAGCTCTCAATTGTATAGTCCTTTTATTTATTTTGGTTTGTAACGAATATTGAATGCATATGCTAATGAATATAATGCATAACAAAGTAATTTCTACATACAAATGTCCAACTAAATAATCAAGCTCTTGAAACAATTTAACAAGTTAAAGATACAATGTAACTTTGATAGCATATCACAGCACAGGCCACAAATGGAAAACATATCATTGTCATGATTCTACACCTCCAAATAACAACCTGAAAATCTGTTCTATGATAAATGAAATGATAAGAAATAGCTGACCCTGGAGTTAACAGAGTTTAATTTTAAGGGCTTTGTTTGGAATGAAGGATTTCAGTGACAAAATTTGGGAATAAAAATAAATCAGTCATGATCCCAACAATCTTCGAACGGATTAAATTGATGAAGTGAGCATACCTTACTAAAATCTCACATCCCCAATGGCTCCTGCCTATTCTTCCTCCACTTTTCTTCTTCTCATTTTCCTTGGTTCCTCTCTCTTGATTTCATTTTCTCCCGTTCATCTCTTTTGTTCACTTTCCTCAATCTCCATCTCTCTCACTCCATTCTTTCTTGTCTCTTCTGCAAATCTGCAACTCTGCGACCCTGTCATCATTTCCTATTTTGAGAGCGATGTCAAAAAGCATAATGGATGAGAGGAATAAGGCATTTGGATCTTCATTTTCAACAGTCACTTGTTGCTCATCACTGATCAACGGTTATGGCCCTTTGGTTCCAGGAGAGGTGGCCTTCAGTTTCAGTTTTGTTGGCAGAGATGGGAGAGATGAATGAATTTTGTTCTTTCTGTGCATTCCTTTTTCATCCAGAAGAGTGTATATTCCTACCAATATGTGAAGGTTTTTGGCTTCCTATGTGCAAAGCAATGTTGGCTACCAAATGAAAATGCAGCTTTTTTTAATGCCGGCAAACACGCCATGTGATGGAAAGGAACCAATCTACCCTTTCATTTGGCCGATTTTTCTATGAACCAAACAAAGGCCAAAGTGACAGACACTGCTTCTCAAGTACCATCAAAACTCTGCATCACACCTTAATTGAAGAAAATAAGAAGAATTATTATGCACTTGAAAGTGAAAATTAAGGATATGATATTTAGTCAATGGCTAGTTGTCCTAATGGTAACACTACCTTCTTCTCTTAGAAGAGGTTCTAGGTTTAAACCTAATATTGACATGTGTTGTGTGCGCATGTGGGTATGTACATCTCCCTTCTCTATAGGGAAGGGCTAGGTTGGAGGTAAAAAATTTTCAAAAAGGATATGATATTTAAGAATTTATGAGCAGAAAGATAATGCATAGTTAAGTTGAAGTAGTTGGTAGTATCAAATATTAGATAGACTCTTACCCTCCCTTTGGATGGGAAAAAAATTTGAAAGGAAAGAAAATGAAGAGAAGAAAAAACTAAAAAGAAAATATTATCACTTCTCCTGTTTGGATGGATAGGAGAAAATAGGGAGAAAAAAATGAACATATCATAATGATTATAATGCCATTATATCAAAATATATCATGGTTCATGTAATTATATTTGTGAAATAAATTGAAAGCAGAAATTATATTAAAATTAACATAATTAAATTAATTCAAAATCAAATTATTTGTTGAAAATGTATTTTTATATTTTATTTTAAAATCAAATAATTAAAATTAAATTAATGTAATTCTGGACACTTGATCTAGCCAATAGTTAAATTATTTAATTAAATAGTTAAATTAATGTAATTCATAACTATAAAAGTTAAAAATTATAAACCAAACTGTTTAATTAAAATTAAATTAATGTAATTAAATAGTCTCCTGAGAGTCAGAGTGTGAAATAAATAAGAGAGAGAGAAGGTAGATGGTGGAAAAAAGTTTTACTCCCAAAATTTCTCTACTTTTAGAGATAAAAGTTGGAAGGAAAAAAACTGTCCCACACCCCATTTTCCTCCCACTTTTTCTTTCCTCTCCTTTTTTTCTTCCCTATCCAAACGACAAAAATCTATTTTCTCTCCTGTTTTCTCTCTATATTTTCTCTCCTCCTATATTTTCTTCCCAACCAAACAGAGCATTAATGATTACCATAAGAAAATATAATTTTTTATTCTCCACATTAAAGTTGAGAAATATAATATTTATTACATTCATTAACATTATTCAACAATAATTATCTTTTCCTATTATTTTTTTTTATAAAACGACAGATGAAACTATTTTTTATTAAGTAAAGTGTGATTTCATTAATCACAAAAAAGAGAGGTTGCAGGAGCACATATAGACGGCAACTCATAACCAACCTAAAAACAAGGAAAAAGAAAAACAACAAATCATCTGTCATCCCTCTACCTATCATCATAAACCACCTCTCCAATGAAGAAACCTTTTGAAATTACAAATTTATTCTTTTTCTTTTATTTTATTCTACATATCAAACTATTTCTAAATTTCACATCAAATGATAAACAAAAGAGGAAGTTGTATACATATGTATGTAATGAGAGATACTCTTCATTTCCTTGGTCTCGGCCAAAGGATGATTAAGGCATACGGTCTTATTATCAAATTAAATTTATTGATTTATCAATTTTTGAATATTTTTTTCATCAATTCAAGGTTTTAATTGGACTGAATTATTCACGAATTTTTCAATCGAGCCAAATGATCTAAAATAATTTTTTTAAGCTTTAGGTATAATGTAGACTTTTAGTAGTAGTAATTCTTGTCTTGTTTAATGTTCTTTTCTTTATTTTGAGTCTTTAAAAATCGAGTAATCAAACATATTTAAGATGCATGAGTTGTTCATTGAAAGTTGTGATCATATAGTTTGCTTTTCGTTACTTCATTTCTCCTCTGACATACTAACAAAAAATCTTAAAAATAGTTTAAAAAAAAAAATAAAAATCAAAGAGGAAACATCTCCTGTTTCAAGTTCCAACACTGAAATTAGTAAGAAGGCATTAGTAAAAAGAGAAGCAGAATTTCCAAACCCTGAAAGAAGTTGGTTCTGAAAGCTTGCCTCACTTCAAAACTTAAAATCACGAAGTGCCATGGGACTAAAAGACCAACATTTTTCCTGACATTTGTCAAGGACATGATACTCATTTTCCCATCACTAAAATCATATTTTTCATTTCATTTTTTTCCCATTTTATTAAGTGTATCGAACATGCCTGCATAGGACTTAACTTTCAAAACAGCAACACCAGTAGAACTCACTGTCTCATCCATATAAAATATAAAATCTATAGCAAGCCGTACTATTTATAAACCATAAATGGTATGACTTTCTTCAAACTTTGTATAACATATGAAGAATATATCTAGTTTGTCAAGAAACATAGCATAATAATAAAAATAGAACTAAAATCCTTAGTTCTTGAAATTTATGGCATATTAAAACCCTGGGAGAGAAAGACCTGATTTAGGAATAAGAATGCAACTTAGCTGATCAACAATTAAACAGGCTAATATAAAGTACTCCCTTTATCTCAAATTATAAGACACCTTTAGACAAAATTTCACATACCAATAACCTCATTAAATACACTTAACAACCTCATCTTTCCAAAACAAAAATATAAACTTTCAAAAATACCCATGATTTAATATACTAAAAAGAAAAGTGATGGAAATTAATCATAAAGAGAGAAAGGGTAATATTGAAATTGATGCATTTAATGAAACTTTAATCTACCCGAAGTGTCTTATATTTTAAGATGGAGAAATTCTTTTAAAAGCACCCTATAATTTGGGACGGAGGGAGTATTATTTGGAGCAAAAGCAAAACATCCACATCTCAGCTCATCAAAAATCATTGAGAAGAAAAGACCTGATGTCATATTACATGCATGCAACTTTGCTCATCAACACTTTTATAACGCCCTATAATTTGGGACGGAGGGAGTATTATTTAGAGCAAAAGCAAAACATCCTCATCTCAGCTCATCAAAAATCATTGAGAAGAAAAGACCTGATGTCATATTACATGCATGCAACTTTGCTCATCAACACTTTTATAGCCTGATATAAGGTATTATCATACTAACAAAATCTGAGGACATCTAAATATCCATATCTCAGCAAAACATTTTTCAAATATTTCCTTTTCCTTCAGATTCTCCGATAGCCAAAGTGATGAAGAATAGAAGGGAAAAATGATCCGCTCAAAATCAAATTAAAGATGCGAGTATGAAGCATGTTTACCTTGTAGCTGTGCACGGCAGAGTTGTCTTTGATGCATCAAATTTGGTTAAGAGGATGGTAGTAGCACATAAGGTATCAGCGTGCTTTATGAGAATGAAAGAATGAACCATCTTGATGTTATTACCAGTAATCACCACATGAACATGAACCGTTTTCAAAATGATGGAATCTATTAACATCTCTGATAATAATTTCCCTTGAAACAAGTTTACATAAAAACTTGAAAAAGGTGTGGCAGTCCACACAGACTCGTAGATTCTTCTTAACCCTTATTGGGGAGCCAGGAGGTGTAGCAATTAACCCAAAGACTACAGCAAGTTTCTCGCTATGGTGAAATAAGAGTTGCTCCTTTTCACTTTGGTTGACATTATGTAGATCAATATCTATGATGGGAATATAACCAGCTTTACTTAGAAGGCCACAAAGCTCATCCAGTTTAGCATATATTTCAGCACTCATATAATGGCTTCTATCTCCAACAATGAAGGTGTACACTTTGTCCTTGACCTCGATCCAACTCATTCCAGGCTCCTTCTTCACCTTGCTTTCCTTCATAAGCTTTCTAACCTTTGCAACATTTTCCCACATCCCTGTGGATGCATAGATGTTTGCAAGAAGAACATGGGTACCAGATTTCTCAGGTTCAATAGCCAAAAGCATCTCAGCAGCTTGTTGACCAAGTTCTACATTCTTATGAATTCTTGCAGCTCCAAGAAGTGCCCCCCAAACTGATCCATCAGCTTCAAATGGCATGGAACTTACAAGCTCAATTGCTTCAGTTAATTTTCCTGCTCGACCAAGAAGATCAATCATGCAAGCATAATGCTCTTGCATTGGTTTAACCCCAAACATATCCTCCATTTTTTCAAAGTATTGTTTCCCCTCATTTACCAGACCAGCATGATTACATGCACAAAGAACACTAACTAATGTTATTTGATTGGGACTCACACCTTCTTCAAGCATTTGACCGAATAATTGAAGAGCCTCTTTCCCATGGCCATGTTGTGCCAACCCTCCAATCATTGCAGACCATGAGACTATTCCTCTTTGAGGTATCTCAGAAAAAACACGACTAGCATCTTCTATGCTTCCACATTTTGCATACATATTAACAAGGGAATTGCTTGCAAAAATATCAGATAGAAATCCAAACTTGAGGGCATGAACATGTAATTGTTTCCCTTGCTCATATGCCGACAAATTTGCACAGGCATTCAAAAGAGAACTACAGACAAATGAATCTGGCTTGATATCTGCATTTTGCATTCGCAAATAGAGTTTTAAAGCCTCTTCTCCATCGCCATCTTGAGAATATGCTGTTATCATGGATGTATAAGCCACCAAATCTTCACATGTGCGTTCTTCAAAAATTTTTGAAGCTTCATCAATATGATTACATTTTCCGTATGCATCAAGAAGACTATTTATCACATAGAAATCTGAATAAAGTCCAGATTTGATGGAAAGAGTATGAATTTGCCTGCATGCATCAAGTGCCTGTATGCTAGCCACAGATTTGAGAACTGTTGACAAAGTAGTTTGGTTATAAACTACATCCTCCTTGCACAGTTCAGCAAAAATGGACACTGCTTTTAAGTCTTCTCCACACTGTGAGTAACCAGAGATCAAAGCATTCCCTGCAACCAACTCCTTTTTTACCATTAAGTCATAAGCTCTCGTTGCATCATCCATCATTTCACATTTGGAGTACATGTCTACTAGTCCGGCTCCCACAAACGAATCTGAATCAATATCTGTCTTTATCAAACTAGAGTGCAACTGTCTACCCAAGTCCTTGAACCCTATTGCAGCACAGGCCTTTAGAGCACTTGATATGGTAAACATATTGGGACAAGTTCCTGAACTTTTCATCTCACCAAACAATGTTAAAGCCCAATCATGACACTCATGAAGAACACAACCAGCAATAATTGCATTCCAAGAAATAATATCAGGATGTGTAATTTCTCGGAAAACTGCCATTGCATCTTCAATGTCCCCTGCTTTTGAATACATGTCAACTAGAGCATTTGCAGAAAATAGATCTAGATTGTATCCCAACTTCAGCAAATGCCCATGAACAGTCCTCCCGTGATCGCCATCTTGCAATCCAGCACATGCATTTATTATGATTGAAAGGCTAAACTCATTAGGCCTTATTCCACTCTGAACCATTTCTCTAAACAAATCTATGGCTTCTATATCCAAATCACTTTGCACATAGCAAGAGAGCAATGCATTCCATGAAACAACATTTAATTCTATAATTGAGCCAAATAGTCTCCTAGAATCACCAAGCTGCCCACATCTTGCATACATAACAACCAAAGTATTCGTAACAAACACATCAGACTCAAACCCTGTGATTATTGTCATTGCATGAACCAGTTTCCCTAACTTCAAGTCTTTCTTGATTGAGCACGCCTTAAGAACACTTGAAAAGGTAAACTCATTGCATTTAATACCCAACATGCGCATCTCAAAAAATGCTAACAGCGCTTCCTCCCCAAGCCCATGTTGTGCATATCCAGATATCAAAGCAGACCAAGAAACCAAATTTGGTTCTGAACCATCTTCAACCAACTTCCGGGCATGCCCAAATTGCCGAGACTTGGAGTACAAGGTTGTCAAGTAATTTTTAAGACTTGGATTGTCAGATGATCCGAACTTAATCATGTGGGCATGAACTACCATGCCTGAGGCTACAGACTTGGACGCAATACATTGTGACAAAAGCTTTGAGTGAGATATGGAACTTTGAGTAGAACCTTCTTCAAACAATTTCTGGGCATAACCAAATTGTCGCCACTGGGAGTACGATGTTGTCCAATGATTTCTAAGACTTGGAACGTGAGGTGATCCAAACTTAGTCATGTGGGCATGAACTTACATACCTAAGGTTACAAACTCAGAAGTAACACATGTGATGGGAGCTTTGAGTAGGAAGTAAAGATTCTTGTATAAAAGCAGAGAAAGGTTACAACAGCAGCATAAGTTTGTATAAATTTTGGGGAGTAAATAAACTTAGATAGTGGCTTAAGCAGTTGTTGATGAATAGGGTTTTGAAAGGAGGGGAAGTTACAAAGCCAGAACTTCATAGTACATTTGATAATTGAATAGGAACAAAATTGAATTACCTCAGGCCCATTGGATTTGTTACACAAAGCGTCCTACAATAGAGTGGCCCATTTAAGCGGCAAAACATAAGATGTCTCCAACTTCACCAAGTACCCACTACATAAAGAAGGAACTAATTTTCTCGTAACATAACTGCATATCTTCATTCATTCAATCAGATGCAATTTCTGCATACCAAGTAGCTGGGGGCCAACAATAACTGGAAGCAAAGGATAGGGTTAGAGTTCAAACTTGATAGCTAAGAATCCAGGAAGGAAACAACGATAGAAATGAACATAATATTAGAAAATGACTCCAAGAACTTCTGAAGAATGTCAGTGAACATTCAAATAAGTGAAATAACATCTAAAACAACAGTGGACAAGGGGAAAAAGTAAATACTCACCACGTCGGGGATTAGGTCCCATTTCTTACTATGGATTTTTTTTAATTTAGTTAAATTAGTTATATACTTAAATTTATAAGTTATGATTAAAAAATATTATTTATATGTCATCCTTTAAAAAAAAAATGAGTGACAATTTTTTAAAATTTAGAATTATATGAAAGGATTGATTCAAACCAAAATTTATGGATTGATCATATTCATGGTTAATATATATTGTCAAGTGCGTTTTTTTCCCCCTCATTTCCTCATCCTTCTGTTCTCTTTTCTCTTTTTTGCTTTAGTTGCACACAAGTGTCCTTCTATCAACTGCAATCCTGTTTGAAGCATGATTGGGCACTGAATGTTGACACCTTTTTTAAACTAGGATTTAAACATTAGTTAGCCACGTTGTTTTGCTAGACCCAACCTTTATTGGTCTAATAATTCTTTTTCAGTTTTATGGCACATCCAAAAATTCCTTTCAAGCATTCCCTAATTTTTTAGGCTAAATTAGAAGGTATTAAAAAACCAGATAGGTCATTGAACCAATTGAGACAATGTTTAAGGTTAGTGATTCAATCAGGCCAACCAGGTCAAGCCAATGATTAAAATAATTTAATTTAATTAAAATATTATAAATATTCAAATTTGCCTATAGCTTGCCCCATTCCTACATGTTTTTCTCATCTTGCCTCGGTCCAACCCAGCAGAGTTTGCTCTGCCCATACCCACTCCGCTCGAAGAATGAGAAAATGATCTATCATCTATACTTCTTAATAGGGGGGAAAAATAGGAACAGGATGAGCTGCAGAAACTAAGCTAGCTCCAAATTTCACTTAGTTTAGCAGAAACAATTGAAGAATCCACTTTCAGGGACAAGAGGTATGAAAATACATTAAAATTTAAAAAAAAAAATGCAGTTTTACAACACATTTATGGTACCAACAAAGTGCCTGCTTCCAAGTTCCAAAAATGGACAGCATGGAGGAGACAGTAAAGCAGCAAGAAATGGGCTTCGCACCAAGAAATGAAAAATGGGGTATTTAAAAGAGCAGCACATTCGAAAATGTGCAGCCATTCTTTTGAATGACAGTTGCTGATTACTACTCAAAAGAGGGGGGGAAAAGAAAAAGGAAAAGAAAAACAGAGCAGCAAATTGAAAAATCATAATCAGCAAGAAAAATGAATGGAAGAGACGATAGATGAACGGACCTTGCTAGGTGACGGCTTGGATGGCGGAACCGGAAGAGAAGTTCAAACGGTGAGCTAGCTGCTGACCTCGTCTTCTTCTTGAGGAAGTCGAAGCTCAAAGCCACACCCACGACGGCGACGGACACGAGACGAGGTCACGAGTCACGACACGAGCAGCAGCGAAGACGGGGTCAAAACGGGGGAGGGGGCATTGCAGCGAGGTTGGGGAGGGAATAACAGCCAAGGGTTGGGTGGGGGAGCATATTTTAAAAAGTAATAATAATAATAATAATAATAATATCTTTTTACCGTTGATTTTGTACTATTATATTTTTTCATAATTTTACTAATAGAAATTATAGTATCATATTAAATAAAACACGTAGCAATCTACGTGATACTTAATGTAAACTAATAATAATAAAAAATATAAATAAATTATAATTAGTTTGATATAGATGTCATGTAAGTTGTTTTGTATCTTTTTTTAATATAACATGATAATTTTTATTAATAAAATAACTATTAAATAATGACAGGCAAGCCTTCTATTAAAAAATAAAAAATAAAAAAGTTAATTTTAAATTTTTTAAAATAAAAAATTTTATATGACAATCTCAAAATTTTGAAAAACTTCACATATGTTAGTCAAAAATAAATTCCCAGACAAGTCCTTTCTAGGCTCTTTTGAAGGCAAAAGAAAATTGGGAAAACCACATATAATACTATGTTTGATATTAAAACTGATAATTTAGATAGGTTAAATTTATTTAGGCAAGCTTAATTCAAACTAAGCTTATTAAAATTGATAGGAGATGTAGAAGCAAAGTCGTGCCAGTTTAAGGATAAAACTTTGAAACACGACAAAAACACAAAAAAAAAGGGGGGACAAAATGATGAAAGAAATAAAGAAAAAAATAAAAAAAGGAATAATGATTAAAAAAAAGGTCTTTTAGAACACTTGCCTCTAGAAACTTCAACCTTTAAAGACACTATAAGAGTTGATCAAGCTTTGGATTATGTTCATTTCTCACACGGGATGCCATCACAAAACACTAAAATTCACAAAAGTTATAAACTCTAAAGTTAATAATTTTATACAACTTATCTTCTTTCAAACAAGTGGAAGCACGCCTATTATATATAGGCTCATAAAAAAACTTTTTCTTAAAATTAAAACCTTAATTTCTTAATACTAAAAGAGGGACAAAAATAATATAAAATAAAGCAGAAAATATTTACCACATAATTTAGGATATGTGATCCTAAAATTATTGAATTACAAAACTTAAAAAATAATATATTTAATCATAATCTTTGACTAAATTTAAAATAAAAAAAATTATGACTAGCTTTGCTTCTTAAAAAAGAAAATCAAGTCAAAGGACTACCAAATTAGAAAGCAATTAAGGAGACAATCAAGGGATCATAAGAAACTCAAAATCACGTCACTCTTGACCTCTTCACTAAGATTTTATGCTCACTTGCTTGCAAGATGTAAAGGGTGTCCTAAATTAGAATTTAATCATCAAACTAACTATATTAAATCAAGGACTAACCCAAAAGGATTATCCTATAAAAGATTAACCTAAACAAATTCTTAACATGTATTTTCACAAACGATTCAATATAAAGGAATCCCAAATCTTTAAAATATCTCAAGAACTCGTATCATTTAATTAAACATATGCGGAAGCATGATAAAAGAAATAACATCAACATGGGAGAAGAGCTTCCCCTTTATTTTCTCTTTATACCTTACACTATAATACATATATATATATATTTACGACATAACACTTGACCACTCAAATCCTTCCATAACTGGCAGTAGGGGGCTAAGGTCTCAATTACCTTTATCATAATGACTATTACCTAATCATCATAGTCTATATATCACCTATTCATCAATAGCCTATCATATACATGAATTTCCCTTTTCATTCACATATAATTAATATCAATTGCTCATCCTTAGACATCAAAAATATAAGGGAAGACCATAACAACATTCAAGTTCTCAAATTAGGCAATATTAACTATTTTCACTTGCACAAAAATTTTAGCCCGTTAATATAGCACAAGCATCAAACCACATTCCCAAGGCCCAAAATACATTTCCCCCAACACAAAACCCATAATGCAAGTAGATTAAAAATATATTATCCTAGTTGTCAATATCATAAACTAAATACACATATCAAAATAAAAAGAGAAAGGCCTACAAAAGTGATTACTATCACTTGGCCTAATGCTCCTTTCCTCTATTCTTCTGAGATGAGCTAGCTCCTGTAATATGTTAAAAAAGAGGGGTGAGTACAACCACTCAGTAACCAAGATACATCTAAGTTATACAAATGCATGAAAATTAATCATGAATGCAAGTGGCCAATAAATTTATTAAGGTGACCATTCAAACAATCACATTAATAACATGTTAATCACATTAACATTTAACTCATGTGAATAATATCAAGGATAAAGTCAAGTACAAAATTTGTACAAATAACCACATATACATTATTCGCATAATTACTACATGTTTTCATTTCTTCAATTATAATTATATTCTCAACATAATCATCAATCATTCAAATGACATGATAGTAATAATATGCATGATCAATCTCTTTCTTATATCCCCCTTATTTCCTCTGACATGAAATCCATGGGCCAACAATCGAAAGGGATCGTCCATGTGGTAGACTACCCAAGGCCTTAATCATATCATGAGGGGCTACCGGGTCAGGGTTACCTTACTCACTTATGAACACGGTTTTTTCCCAAATCACATACTATGGGGTGTCATATCCAAAACTAGCTCTACTCAAAATTTCAGGTAGACCAGTAGGGTCAAATCCCTTAATAAGAACAATGCTACAGTACCTTACAAGGTAAGTAGCGATTATAACCCCTAGGATTATTGGTTAATAGTCAAGTACCGTATGAATTTTGCATAATTGCTAACTCCTTCACTAAGGCGAACTCCCGCCATATGATTATGCTCATGAGAAAATATATTTCAAAAACTCATATATATATAACTCACAATTATCCCACATGCTCATCAACTTCTTGCTCAACAAACATCAAGAATCATCATATTTCAATCATACATCTTGCATCAATTTTTATATTATCACATAAAACCACATTGATCATATAAAACTGAACATGCTAATATATAATTCATCACTGTGCATAATCCACAACTTATAACCAAGAGTGTACACATCATCATCAACCATCAATCTCATTACTCATATCAAGTTACAATTAACTTAGTCACAAGTGATAGAGTCTCAACAAAGCCACATGCACTACAAACAACCATTTCAAAATTTAGAGATATATATATATATATATATTCTTTTGTTTCACACAACATAATTAATTAAGTAGCATATAAATACATAAAATAAATTTTTCCTAGTTACCTCAACCTTTGAGAGGTCAAAGGTTACCCCTTAAGTTACAACACTTTCAAAGCTTTCCAAAACTTGAATGGTATCAAAGAAAATTAATCTACAATTAATCATATCCTAATGTGTCAATAATATTATTAACACAATTTTTACTCATACTCTAACACCTAAGTATTTATTTTATTTTATTTTTAAGACCTTTGTCTTAGTCTCTTGAGTTCTAAAATTTAATTTCATGTATTTGAACCTATCCACTTGGTTCAATAGTCTCCTTCACAATAATTTAATTCAAATAATTTTCTAATATCAAAATTTCCCTTTTTATTCCAAAAATTCGCAAATAAAAATACCCAAAAATTAAAAACTTGATTTCAAGCTTAGAATCATTATTCTATAGCTATAATAATTTATTTCTCATCTTAAATAATCATCTAAATATCAACAAATCAATTTATATTTTTGGATTTAACCAAAAATTTACCCATAGGGATTTAGGAATAAACTCAAATGTCTCAAATTCTAATTCTATCAACAAAATAATACTCTAGAATATTTATTACACTACCAACAACCTCAACAACCAGATTTTCTCACCAAAATTTTATCTCTCTTTCAAATCCTAGATTTTTCAAAATCTTAAAATTTGCAGTCTCAGGGAAAAAATGATTAAGAAAATATTTAAAATACTTACCTAGTCTTAGAATACTTAAAATCTTATTTAAAGTATCCTATTATGGAGTTTCACCTTCTAAATCAGCTCTTCTAACCGCAGCGTCACTCTCTCTCTCACTCGCTCTCTATTCACACCCGAGGCAGATGAAGAAAGAAGGAAGAGAAATAGAGATGAAATATGGCAATGAGTTGTTTTAAAAACAATTATGGGTCCCACAGTCTTTACCTTTTCTTTTGTCTTCTTCAATGCATACACGTGAACGAATTCTTCCGCCGCCCTTTTCTCTCTTTTTTTTTGCATTAATTACACCTCAACACTCAAAGTAAAAATTACTTCTCTTCCCTCTCTTTAATTTTCAATTTATTTTATGTTTCTTTTCCTTCTTCTTTCTTTCTTTTTTTTTAATAATATTATCATTACTATTTCTATTTACTATAAGATCATAATTTAGGATTTTAATCTAAATTAAATCTAATAATAATCTTCTAATTAAAAATATTTATATCTAAATATTCCTCCAAAATTACTCATTTTCTCTAAATTAACTTAATTAACATTAGGTTAATTTTTGGGATGTTACACAAGAGACTCCACTTATAGTCTTCCTTATATTAGGTTAAGGTTTGCACCTTTTAGGCTTCACTCCTTAGAGATTTAGATCTTTAACACATTATATAAGTTTAGATACTCTCCTTTGAGCCTAAAAGGCATGCCCTAATTCTTTTCAAGCTCTTGAATTTCTTGTACACGACTAAACCAAGCTTGCTTCATGATTTTAGTTCAGGCTCTTGTCATTAGGTCCCAATATGTTGTAAAGGATCCTGAAGCATGTTAGATTAGAAGTATTGGGCTCTTTGTGTTGGGATCTTTTCATGCCACTATGTTTATGCTTGCCATCATCAAGCTCTCCAAGCTTGCTTACCATATCATCAGTGTCATGGGGTTTATCAAGATTAGACTTAAAATACCCTAATATACATAAAATATTATATAGCCAAACCTAACCCTATCCCCTCAAAATTTCAAGTTTATTCAGCTAGCCCGAATGCTCAAATTGTTAAATATTATGTTATATTTTTTTTATGTAATATCAATTTTTAAAAAATTAATATTTTCAATTTTTATCTTATTTTA